AGGGCTTTGACGCCATTCATTTCCCTTCTTCCCTTTTTCTCGGCCCCGAGTCTGAGGGAGGCCAGCCGCTGGTAGAATTGGCTAGTGGTGTTAGTCGATTTTGGGACGCTGTTGGACTTGGCTAGTGGTGTTAGCCGGTTGGGGGGTGATTATGGCTCCTTACGGTTAGAGAGCAGATCGATTTGCTTTGGATTGGTCCAGGGCTCGGGCCCTCGTCTTTGCTAGGCATTAGGCTGTGGCGGGCGAGGTTACTGAGTTTTGGTTCTCTTCTAGGAGTCGGCCTATGTCTTCTGTTCTATTCGGATATCCTGCCGAGAGAGGGCCTAGATTTAATTAGTTTGTCATTATGTTTTTAGTTGTGTTTTTGTTTGTCTGTTCGTCTTTCTCTTTTTGGTTTGGGTCGTTGACCTCTGTGTTGCCTGAGTTGAGAGTGAGCATTACCCTGTTGGGGTCGTTTTCTTCTCATTCTCCTATTGGGAGCGATATTTACCCCGTTAGAGTCGTTTTCTCATTCTCCGCTTCGGAGTGTAGGTTGAGTTCTTGTGTTTTTTGTAATATTACCTCGTTGGGATCAGCTCTAAGCGGTCCTTTGGACTTGTCCTCTCAGTCTCTTCAACCGTTGGCTGTTTGTATTCAACTAGTGGCTGTTTGTATTCAGCTGGTGGTTGTACTTTTACACATTTGTACGCTTTTATATAATATCTATCGTTTCGAAAAAAAAAATTGAATTGATCGATAATTATTGGTTTGCGGTCCACTCAGTCGAACTATTCGGTCGAGTCCGACTTTCAAAATCAACCCAAAATCAAACCACATTCATACTAACAAAAAGAAACCATCAATCAGTAACACAACACCAAGCCGTTCGGGCCAAAATTAAATTAATAAATAAACATCGACACAGCGTCACAGTAACCAACCAGCTTAGCCAAGAGATCATATTATATGATCCAGAGGAAAATAAACAAAATAAAACAGCGGCCTAATCTTTACGACCCACAGATAAATATCAACAGGACAAAGTCCACTTTTGGTCCTCCATGTTTAGGGGTATCCAGACTGAGTCCCCATTATTTTTTGCTGCCCAATTTTAGTCCTTAAAACAAAAAAATGTAGTCCCTATTATGTTTTGGTGCCCAATTTTAGTCCTTAAAACAAAAAATATAGTCCCTATTATGTTTTCGTGCAATTTTAGTCCTTAAAACAAATAAATATAGTCCCTATTATGTTTGGGTGCCCAATTTTAGTCCTAAAAGTAAAAAAATATAGTCCATATTATGTTTTGGTGCCCAATTTTAGTCCTAAAAACAAAAAAATGTAGTCCCTTAACCTCAATTTATGTGAATTAACGGTCCATTTTTGTTAATAACATCAAAGTAGTTGTGTAAAATAATTTAACACATCGAAAAGATGTAACCAAATTTCAAAGGAACAAATTATTGGCCTGATTATAAAAATCATGATACATTCATTGCATAATTATTAATTCTTAAATATTAAATAATAAAATTATATATTTATATTACATACCCTGCACACAACAATCCATCCACTCGTCCGTGAGTGGGTCCGGCTCATTTTCTAGTGCCTTGCGCATTTCCCTGACGAGCCTCCTGGGTCGTCGTACGTCCGGCAGTTGGGGAACTGCTTGAAGAACTCGTTCGAGAGGTGGTTTGCATAAATGACAATTTTGTCCATCGCCAGTGCCTCAATAATTTGTTCCTTTGAAATTTGATTACATCTTTTCGATGTTTTAAATTATTTTACACAGCTACTTTGATGTTATTAACAAAAATGGACCGTTAATTCACATAAATTGAGGTTAAGGGACTACATTTTTTGGTTTTTAGGACTAAAATTGAGCACCAAAACATAATATGGACTACATTTTTTTATTTTTAGGACTAAAATTGAGCACCCAAACATAATAGGGACTATATTTATTTGTTTTAAGGACTAAAATTGGGCACGAAAACATAATAGGAACTACATTTTTTGTTTTAAGGACTAAAATTGGACACCAAAACATAATAGGGACTACATTTTTTGTTTTAAGGACTAAAATTGGGCACCAAAACATAATAGGGACTAAATTTTTTTGTTTTAAGGACTAAAATTGGGCAGCAAAAAATAATGGAGACTCAGTCTGGATACCCCTAAACATGGAGGACCAAAAGTGGACTTTCAACACTCTTCTATCATTTACGTGTTTATGCCAAAAGGTCTCCAAAGTCTTCTCTTCTGTTCTCATTTTCTCCACTTTCTTTTTCTTTTGGAAAAAAAAATAATAAAATAAAATAAAAAATAAATTAAGAGTAGAAGACAAATTCCCAGCAGTAGAAGCAAACACGAGATACAAATGATAAATTTTTCCTTTCAATCAAAAAAGAACTTTCACTATCTAAAACTAAATGCAGGAAAATCTTCTCAAAATATTCCTGACCTGTTTTTCTAACATCTAACTCCTTGATCATACAAAACGAAAAGGAACAAAAAAAAATTGATCTGCTTTTCCTTCCAATCCATCAAATCACCTTCAATTTAAAAATGGCATCTTTACCTGTCAAGAATCCTCCCAAAATATCAACAAGAGTGTACGCACACACATTCATCCCAATTTCACTGCATTTTGCAGTCGAGAAGCTTCATTCAGCACCGTCCTTCTTTCCAGCTATACTCTGGACATCCCGTTCACCACACGAGCCTCACGAGCAATCATGAGCATATAACCTTATCAGGTCAGGTACTCCATGCAAGATCCTTTTCATTTCTTCTCAGGCTGCCATGGATGCAAATTGTCATTTCCTGGTCAAGAAATAGTTAAAATCGAACCATAAATTCACGCTCCCCATTTGTTTTCTACAAATTCAGTCAACTCACAGCTCCCAAGCAAGAAATGGTTTTTGCACGCAATAAAATCATCCCCCAATCACCAACCAAAGAGATTGAAAAGGCAATATTAAAAAATAAATAAATACTTACCAGCAGGCTGCTTTTGCTCAGCAGGCTTCACCTGTACACCAGCTGGGACAGGATGTATGTACGAGAATCCAGCTGGCAACAACATCGCGCTCGATTGGGCACCAAAAGGAGACACATGCATCATGCCTTGTGACTGAAAACCCCCACCTTTCGCATTACAAGTAGCCGTAGCAATTGCTGTCGTGGGATCATTGGTGCTCGCATTTGACAAGGAGACGGGTGTGCACAATGACAATACCCCGCTCGATGACATTAAAGTAGCACCACCCGGGCCTCGCTGGTGCTGGTCCGACCCGGACCGTCTTTGCGTCATGTAGTATCCACTCGGGCCGGCGACAGCTGCATTTGCCGAGCCAGTCGAATGATGGGGATGGGATGGGGAATATGGGCTCGAGAAGAATAACTGGGCCTGCTGCATGGTTTTGGGCTGAGACTGCTGCTGTTGCAATTGGTTTTTTGCTGCATGAGGATTTCCGAGAATTGAAGGCGACTTTTGGTTAGGCATGGACGGCGAATTTTTGGTCTGTTGGGTCGAAAAGGATGAACCCTGGCCTGTTTTATTGTTTGTTGAGGCAGATGAAGGCGTCCTCGGGCTCCCGCTCATCGCACCTTTGGAAATGGAGGAGGTCGTGGGTGACCCAACCTGGTTGCCACTTGACGGTGCTATTTGTTGTTGCCCTTGAGAGGATAATGATTGCTTTTGAGTACCTCCAAAGGATATCTGAGTGTGCATGGGCTGTTGGGTTCGAGAATGTTGCTGGCTGATATTCTTGTGCATGGACACACCTGAAGGCCCTAGGGACGACGGGCCTTGGGCTTGAGAGGCTGGAGTTCTTGCTGAGTTTTTCCATTGGGGAGACTGAGGACTCGTTCCAGAGCTGTTGCTCTGGATGAGGT